TTTATAATTATATAAAAATAATCATTCATATTATATCATATATACATATAAATTAAAATACTAGTTATAACCGTATAATAAAATATTTTTAATTTATATAATTAATTAATTCTGTATTAAAATTATTTATCCAAGATTAAAATGCTATTTCTCCTAAAAATAAAAATATAAAAGAAACTTACTTGATTAATCAAGCTCCTCCTCTTGCATAAAAATAAATAAATAAATAAAAAATGGAGCTCCTCCTCAGTGCCACCGCTAATACAATTCTTCTGGGAAGGCAAAATTTCTCTGACCATTCCCATAGAAACGATCTTCAATTATATTTTGTCTTCTGCAATCGAAACTCTTGCTTCTTCTTCTCAAATTTAGCTTCATGAAAGCGTAACTGTTTCTTGCGTCTTTTTTTTCCATCATCCAACATGGTACTCACCATCACTCCTTCCTCGTACGTTGTTGATGTGCATAAAAATTTGGCTTTTTTTTTTTTTTAAATTTTATTTTATTTTCTCAGGAAAAAACTAGTGGCGCTGACAAGTACAACGTTGAAACCGCGGAAATCTTGGCAAACGAGGCACAGGTTCGGACCCACTTCCCAAGTTCGATTTTTTTTGCGTACCCTTTTGTTCACTCTTGTTGTTTCTGTGCTGTTCAGAGTTTGCCTGTTACTGAGGCCACACCCATATTCGAGCAGCTTCTGCTATTGTTTCCTACTGCTGTGAGTGTTCTTGTTGAGTGCTTTGGTTGGTTGTTATTGAGAGCAATGTGTGTTTTTGACTGTGTTTTGTGATTGAAATCATCTTGCTTCATCTGCTATGGGGCTGATTTTTGTTGGTTTTCAGGCCAAGTTTTGGAGGCAATATGTGGAGGCACATATGGTTGTAAATAATGATGATGCGGTCAAACAGATTTTCAGTCGGTGTTTGTTGAATTGCCTTCAGATTCCTCTATGGTATGTTGTTTGCTCAATCTTATTAATGGCATTGTGTATTAGGAGTTTTATTATTTTTACTCTCCCTTTTGGATGTATTGTTATGAACCCTTATGTTTTTTTGGCTCATTTAATCAATAATTTGTAGAGTGGCATGGGAGTTAAATTATCAGTCTATTTAGTAATTCAAGCCTGTGCTACTAAGAATTAGTATGTAGCTACTAGCTACTTCCCTTTTGGTTGGTCACCACTCACCAAGTAGGATGGATATGTAGATTTAACATGGAACTTTGGGCTGGGGGTAGAGGTGGAGAGGTTTCTCGGAAGAGGATGGACTACAAGCCTACTGCTTGCTGTGTATCTGCATTTCTGTTTGATTAACCAAAATGAGTAACTTATTTCAGCTGGGTATCTTTAAGGTTTAATTGGTATGCTTACATTAGAGGACCCGTTCCAATTTTTATTCATAGATAGCCTTGCAAGGAAAGGGTAACTTCTTTAAAGTATTGGACAGTTAACATATAAGTATGACACTCAGAAATAATTAAATCATAGGAGATCTTGAAAAATTCTCAATTTCTGTGGCAGGTGTTTTGAAGTTCTTTATATTTTAGTTGTTTCTTTTTTCCCGATATGAATGGCTGTTATGTCTTGTATTATGTGTTTCATCTTCTCTATCTTATTTATGTTTGATATTGGATTTGTATCCAGACTTGTGAAAATGAATGAAGTAACCTGCTTATTTGGTCTGTCTTGTGGTCCATGCAAATGATGTTTTTAGTTTTTGTTTCAATCTTTCATCTCATTTCTTATCTTTGGTTTATAGGCGATGTTACATTCGTTTCATTAGAAAGGTCAATGACAGGAAGGGCATAGAGGGTCAAGAGGAGACAAGAAAAGCTTTTGATTTTATGCTTAACTATGTTGGTAAGTTGTTTTCCTTTTTCCTGTTTGCATGGTCTTAGTTGTCATTGGATTGGAGTAGCACCTATTTAGAAGATGATGGAAACTCATGGAAGGTGATTTTGTCATGTGAGAACATGAGAAGAAAGCAATAGAGAGTTTTGTGAAAAGAAGATTGATAGAGATCCCACTATGAAAAGTGGGTCAAAAGATAGACTAACTGAATTGGTAGAGAAAAGACCTACAAAAAATTAGGAGACACCAATAAAAATATATTGCTTTATGTGGTTTTACTGGAAATATGCTTTTTGATGGTGCTTGTTAGATATAAAATCATTTATCCATCATCACCCTATATATTAGAGCTTCTATGACCATGTGGTCTACAGTTCAATCCTTGTTTCTCTCATTCTTCTAAATAAATGTTTGATTCAAGCAGCACAAGGTAGAGTCAGCTTATGCATTGTCCATGCTTAATTCATGGTATCAGAGCTTCTATGCCCATGTGGTCTAGAGTTCGATCCTTGTTATCTCATTCTTCTTAATATTAATTAGATTTCATCACAGGGTTGGGCTGTTGATTGTCCACACTTCAAGCTCAAGGGGCTCTTGTGTGAGGAGTGTTAGATATAAAACCATTTATGTGCTTTCAAACAATGACATATGCGTTTGGGATAACTAGCAAGTATCTGTACATTGCATAGATATTTATAAATACAGGACAATGTGAAAATATAAATTTACAAAATATTTATAGAAAGATTGTTTTACAGTTTTACTGTTGAAATATTGTTTTTATTATGATTTGCAATTTTGCAAATATCTCATTATATTTCATGTTGATTAAAGATATTTAAATATTAGTTGAAATAAATAAGGAAACTAAATCTGTTTTGATTGAATAGGTAATTTACAAGAAAAAAATATTGATTTGATATATAAACTCATAAGATGTGTCATAAACTCTCAAAATGAAGACATGTGACTACCCCTCAGAATGGTTATCTGTTTTTTAAGAATGGGGACTCAAATGTATAATATAGGAATCAATTGGTTCAAGACAGTTTAATGGCACTGACTAATCCATGTAGCCTATCCCACCTTGTTGGATAAGGCTTTATTGCTATTTTTGAATGAATAATGTATTGATAAAAATCTCAGTGGCTTTTATCTTTTTCTACTGGATGGGGACACTGTTTGGAATCCTATTTATTAAATAGTTCAATTTCAATGTAAAAGAAAGTACACATTTTAAGGAGACAGATTAAAGTATAACTAGTCTGATTTAGGCTGGCTATTGGGGAATTGCATAAGTTTTGAATTTTACTAGCTATAGATAGAATCTCTTGACAATTTGAATGTTTATTTTGGAAAATTAGGTTAAATGAAAACTGATTTCTACCTCATAATACAAAGAGATCATACAAGATATATATAGGAGACTTATGCTATTTTAGGAAATATAATAACTCTATTTTATTCTAGAATCCCTTGATTTATGGGATTGTTCCTAATTATTCAAATCTGTACAGATTACAAGGAAATATACAGATTTCCTAATTTATTCTTTCCTAAAATACTATTTGATTTCCCACACTCCCCCTCAAGTTGGTGAATAGGTGTTTTCCATTCCCAGCTTGGATACAATTTTCTCAAAATTGTGGCTGCCCAGTCCCTTGGTAAGAATGTCTACAATTTGGTCTTGAGAGGACACATATGGCGTGCATATCAAGCCATTATCAAGCTTTTCTTTGATGAAGTGTCTGTCTACTTCAATATGCTTTCTTCTATCATGCTGCACTAGGTTGTGGGCTATGCTGATTGCTGACTTATTATCACAATAGAGCTTCATAGGGCCTTCCTATTTTATCCTCAAGTCTTCTAAGATGATTTTAAGCCATAGCAACTCACATATGCCTTGTGCCATGGCTTTGAATTCCGCTTCAGCACTGGACCGAGCCACTACACCCTGTTTTTTGCTTCTCCAAGTTACAAGATTTCCTCCAAGAAAGGTGCAATATCCTATAGTTGACCTCCTATCCACAATTGACCCTGCATAATCAGCATCTGTATAGGCTTCAAGCTTCACATTACCATTCCTTTTGAATAGAATTCTTCTTCCTGGAGTTCCTTTAAGGTACTGTAAAATTCTGTGGGCAGCTTGTAAATGGGTCTCCTTTGGGCTATGCATAAATTGGCTAATTAAACACACTGCATAGGCAATATCTGGCTTGGTATGAGACAAATATTTAAGTCTGCGCACTAATCCCTGGTACATCTCTTTGTCAACAGCAACATCTTTTACATTTCCAAGCTTTAGGTTTGGTTCTAATGGGGTACTAGCAGGTTTGCAAGCTGTCTTGCTAGTTTTCTTGAGCAAATCAGTGATATATTTCTGCTGGGATATAAATATCCCTTTCTTGGAGTGGGCAACTTCAATTCCCAAAAAATATTTCAGTTTTCCCAAGATCTTGATCTCAAATTCCTTGCCCAAGCATTGGCTCAACAATTGCTGCTCTTCTTTATCATCTCCAGTTAATATTATGTCATCCACATACACCAATAACATTGTTACTCCCCCTGACTTGGAATGTTTAAAGAACAAAGTGTGGTCCCCTTGTCTTTGTTTGTAACCCAAACCTATCATAACTTTAGTAAACCTACCAAACCATGCACGGGGGGACTGTTTTAGCCCATATAATGCCTTTTTCAACTTGCAAACAGTGTTGGCAGCAACATCTCTACCATATCCCGAAGGTATCTCCATATAAATTTCTTCTTCGAGGTCTCCATGTAGGAAAACATTCTTAACATCAAATTGTTCCAAGTTCTAACCATAATTGGTAGCAAGAGACAATATCACCCTAACTTAGTTCATTTTAGCAACCGGAGCAAAGGTCTCCAAATAATCAACTCCATAGGTTTGGGTGAACTGTTTGGCAACTAGTCTTGCCTTATATCTCTCAATTGATCCATCAGCCAGTATTTCACTATATAGATCCACTTACGTCCAACCGGTCTCTTTCCTATTGGTAAGGTGACTAACTCCCAAGTGTTGTTCTTCTCCAATGCTTCCATCTCTACATCCATGGCTTGCCTCCATTTTCTGTCAAACAATGCCTCAGATAGGGTATTAGGTACAAGTGTACTGTTTAGGTTTACTAGGAAGGTTTTCTGGGCAGGAGAGAAATTTTTAAAAGACAAGTAATTTGAGAGAGGGTAGAGTGGCTGTTTGGTGCATTTTCTTGTCCCTTTTCTAATGGCAATTAGGAGGTCAAGATCATTTTGGGTTTCAATTTCAACCTGCATAGTTGGAGAAAAAATTATGACCTTTTTTTGTGGAGTCGAGTTGGATTCTTGAACATGGCTTGATCCTGGAATGGCCTTAGTCTTCCTTGAGTACACCCGCTTCTTACCAAATCTCTTATCTTCAACATATCCTTGATCATCTTCACAATTAATTTCACTTTCTTGACCAACTTCCTTTTCTTGACCAATTCATTGTCCAACTTCACTTCCTTGACTTGTTTCACTTGGTACAACTTCAATTTGATTTGGTTTAGGTTCAATTGTCAAGTCTATCAAGTCTGGAAGAGTGGGAAAACCATAATTACTTTCTTTGTCTTCCTGGAAACTCTCCCCCTGAAGATAAGGTTGATTGAAATAGCCCTCTTGTTCATTGAAGGTAACATCCCCAGACACAAATTTTTTTGGATGGGAGGTGGTAACATTTATACCCTTTCTGAGTGGATGAGTAACCAACAAAGACACACTTTAAGGCTCTAGGATCAAGTTTCCCCCTGTCTGTACTATGAATATGGCCATATGAGGTGCACCAAAAAACTCTTGGTTTAAGATTATATGTAATGGAGAGGTTTGGATAGAAAGATGACAAAGCTTCCATAAGGCTTTTTGATCCTAAGACACTAGAGGGTAGTCTATTGATAAGGTGTGTTGCTGTAAGAACAACTTCCCCCCATAAATTTTTTGGGACACTATTTTGGAACAACAATGCCCGAGTTTGATTTAATATATGCCCATTTTTCCTCTCTGCGACTCCATTCTACTGTGGTGTTTTGACACAAGAAAGCTCATGAATTATACCTTCTATTTGACAAAAAGAATTAAGGACATGATTGAAGTAATCTTTGGCATTATCTGACCTAAGTCTCTTAATATTAACACCAAACTGATTTTTTATCAAGGAGTGGAAGTTTAGGAAGACAAAACTGACTTCAGATTTTTGTTTAAGTAGGAAGACCTAAGTGACCCTTGTACAATCATCTATAAAGGTGACAAACCATCAAGCACTAGACACATTTGGAACATTAGAAGACCCCATACATCAGTGTGAACGAGATAAAAGGGAAAATTGCTAATTTTATTACTTATTAGAAAAGATACACGCTTGTGCTTAGCAAGTTCACACACCTCACAAGTCACAATGAAGACTCTCAACATCTAACTTGGTAAATAGAGAAGGAAACATAATTTTGATAACTCCAAAAGAAGGATATCCCAGCCAACAATGATAAAGCATGATTTTTTCTTTGTTGGGCATCATAGATTCAGATATGAAGGAGTGAGAGATCTTGTTCTTGCTGGAAAGACTTGGACCTTTAAGATAGTAAAGGCATTCCATTCTCTAGCACGTCCAATCGTCCTCCCCAAATCCTTGTCCTGAAATACACAATGATCGTTGTAAAAAACATTACATGACAAATCCTTTATAAGTTTTGTATAGAGACTAGGTTGGTGGACAACTTTGGGACATGGAGAACATCTTTTAAGATTATTAAAGGATTGATTTGTATATTTCCTTGACCAGCTACAGTTATAAGGGTTCCATCTTCTGTGACAATTTTCTGGTTGCTGGGACATGGGAAATATGTGGAGTAGTGTTGGGCTAATGGTGTCATGTGGTTTGTGGTTCCAGAGTCCAATATCCAATAATGATTAAAGGGTGTATCTGAGACATTTAATCCAAAAGAAAGTGGAAACTTATCTAAGTATGCCAAAGAACACACACATTTATGTTTTTCCAGCTTACTAAGAAGGGTTCTCATCCTTTCTATCTCCTCTTGGTTAAGATGAGTAGTAGCTTCTGGTTTTTTTTCTTCATTTGTTCCAGCAACAACATAAACTTGTCCTCCCTTCATTGAGGAGCCTCCTCTGTATCCCCCTTCTCGGTCTTGATTTAAAGGCTTCCCGTGCAACTTCCAACACTTCTCTCAAGTATGACGGGGCTTATTGTAGAGACCATCACCTTTCTTCTCCACATTTGCTAATCCTCCTTTCTTCTGTTCGGCTATCATGGCCAAAGTCTGATCTCCTTTATGGTCAGCCACCATTGTTGAGTTCTCTACTGCTGGACTTTCTAACATGAGACTCCTTCTACTTTCTTCACTTCTCACAATAGCCACCACTTCATTGAAGCATGATACCTTTTGCTTCCCCAATATTTGAATCCTAACTTGATAAAATTCAGGATTCAAACCAACAATGAAATCATTAACTCTGTCTTGCTCGATATAGTCCTTGAGAAGTGTTGAATCTTCAATACATTTGGCTTTTATGACTCTATAATGGTCTAGCACCATCCATAATGATTTCAACTGATTGGCATATTCTGTAATAGTCTTGTTCCCTTGTTTTTCTGCCAAAGTTTTCACCTTTACTTCATATACTTGAGCAACATCTTTGGCTTTAGAGTAGGTTTGCTCTACTTTATCCCAAATCTCTTTTTCTGAGTTAAGGAACATGCAGGTGTCACTAATTTCTGGAATCATTGAGTTCCACAGCCACACCATGATCATTGAATCTTCCTCATCCCATGTAGTAAACTTGGGATCCTCCTGTTTAGGTCCAGACTCCGTCATGTGACTCAACTTCCCTTTTCCCTTCAACGCTGTACGAACACGTTGGGCCCACTTCAAATAATTTCTTCCATTTAGTCTATATGCTGAGTGAATATTCTGCAGTTCTCCAGGATGATGGGATTGGGTATTCCCTATTTCTGGGGCTGGGTTCACAACTTCCTCTTCCCTTGACATTATAACAAGGTGGCTGGGTGGTGAAGAATAAAAGGAAAGGTTGTGCGATTAAGGCACAGAGAAAACAGTAGGAAAAAAAAATGTGCAATGAGCGTATAGGGTCAGATGCAGTAGCAATGTAGGCTGCCATCTTAGGGTTTACAGTGTGCAGACAAAGCTTCCTAGGTTGGAGGCTCTGATACCATCTGGAAAATTAGGTTAAATGAAAATTGATTTCTACCTCATAATACAAAGAGATCATACAAGATATATACAGGAGAGCTATGCTATTTTAGGAAATATAGTAACTCTTTTATTCTAGAATCCCTTGATTTATGGGATTGTTCCTAATTATTCAAATCTGTACAGATTACAAGGAAATATACAAATTTCCTAATTTATTCTTTCCTAAAATACTATTTGATTTCCCACATTTATCATGAGGGAAGAAGCTGATTGTACTTTGGGTTAGGGTAATTGTATAATTTTTCTTAGACATATTATAATTGTAGACCACTTATGTGATTGAGTTATCCAGCATTTAGTGGATCTCTAGTTATTTAAAATTCTTTAGACTAGTTCCGGCCAACATTTTTTTTATAAATAATTTTATGTGTCTTAGTTAATGCTTAAGCAACTGATTTGTAAGATTATGGGTCTGTTTGTTTAAAAAATATTTCCCTGAAAAAGTGCTTTTTCAATAAAATAATCACTCTTCTACATTTTTAACGTGTTTGTCTAAACTTTATTTATTTATTTATTTTATTATTTTTTTAAATAAGCAGTTTTCTTCTTGTTTTAAGAAGCAACTCTTACAGTATTACCGGCTTTTTAAAGATTTTTTTTTTTAAAACATTTCCTAAGAAATACTTCTTTTTAAGTTTAAACAAATGGACCCAATATTTGTTCTCTTGTATTAGTTCAGTCAGTTAGATTGCTGTATCAGAGCAGTTAGTTAGAGTCTTAGTTAGGTTGTTATATTTTCAGTTGTGAGCTTCTGCAACACTTCATAAATATTGAATGTAAGCAGAAGCTCTTGTGCCTTTTTTGTAATCTTTTGATTCTCAATAAAGCACACTTATCAATTCTCTCACTTTATTTATTATGAATTGGAATCACTTATTGTTGGAGATCCCATATTGACTAGTGGTATGACCATATTAGTGTTTATAAGTAGGGAACAATCCTTACCTTATAAGCCGATTTTTTAAGGTTTAATTAGGCTCATAATCCTCTTTCTTAAGATGATATTAGAACTTATTTTAGCGATTCTTTTTGTTAGGTTTAGGTCACTCACTATCAGGTCGTTATCAAATCATCAGCAAATGTCCAATTCTACAAACTTTACCCTCGAGATGTCTAGTCCTTGGTGTGAGGGGTGTGTTGGAGATCCTATATTGACTATTGGTATGACAATACTAGTGTTCATAAGTGGGGAGCAATTCTCTCCTTACAAGCCGGTTTTGTAAGGTTGAGTTAGACTCATACTTTCTTAAGACATATGTTTGTACATCTCGAAAGCTAGCATACTCCTCCACCACCCATACTAATTGACTTAGGTATCTTCCACTTAAACATAACTTCTACCATAGATAGATCTACATTATATCTCCACTAGAAATTACAAGACCTAGAAAATTCACTTCATATAATAAAAATTCATACTTAAATAACTTAGCATAAAGTTGTCTTGAATATATTTTCATCCTCAACTCTAATATGATGATATCACATCCTAACATCAGTCTCGTTAAACACGTAAATATTCATTAATTGATCCCAAGGTCATCTATCCATATATCAACATACATGCATAACAAATCATATTAGAATACCTACTTTAAACCTTCATATATACCATCCTTAAGCATGTATGAATCAATTACCGTTTACTTCGTATAGCCTGTATATGAACAGCCTTTACCACATAACATCATACAACCTTAAAGAAACTTTTGATCCACAAGACAACACCTCAGAACATCAGAATAAAATCGATTTCCTAATAACTCACAAACATCATGATAACATATATATCCCTTTAACAACTATCAAAGAAAATGATACGTAGAGAATTATACTCATCCAAACAATCTCAAACCTATCACCAAAAGAAAGCTAACATGATAAGCTATCACTCTTATGAAGACTTGAAATTCTAAAATGATCATATACTTAGCTTAAAATTTCAAAAATTATAATAAATATAATCGGTGCTAACAGCTAGACCTTTACTCACATATTCATAACGGAAGTTCTAGATCTCCATTGTACCTGATTTTGGTGCCTTAGAAAAATAACATCCAAGACTACAACTTTTATGAAGATCATAAAATCCAACTCTATCAATATAATATTCTGTCAATATAATACTTATACTGGCATAATAAAACTGCAGCTATGACATTTCCTGCATAGATCAGCAAAAGAGCGCACCAAAGTCTAAAGCCCCAAAAATACCTTAAAACACTTCCAAATCATTATTTAAATTTCTTCCTACAATCCTAAACCAAACAACTTACCTATTTAGCACAGAGAACTTAGAAACTAAAATAAAATCCTCATACAGCCTAACCCATAAAGAAATCAATATGTAAGCATCAAATTTAATAAATCATATAATAAGATTTAAAAGTAATAAAGGAAATATAAATTAATTCCAGTAAAGGTGGCAGTGCCTCCTAGTTAGGAATAATTTATAACTTCCAAATCATGTAATAATAATAAAAAAAAATAACAGAGATGCACATTTTAACCTTTCATCAAAACATTCAAAATTTTAATTCTTGGCATACAACCTCCTTGGATTCAATCGCTAAAAACTATAGACTTCGTCTACCAAACAAGCACGGTAAACTCATAACTCATGGCCGATTGGATCGACCTGCTCTAATACCACTTAATGTAACGCCCAATTTATATAATAATAATTATATATTTTCTTATATAATATTTTTGCAATTATATCATTAACAATATATATAT